ATAAATAAATATATATAAATTATAAAAAATATAAATATATTTATATATATAAAGATTTCAGAGTTGTATATATAATATATAATTATATCATATTATATATAATGTATCATTATATCATAGTTATTATATATATAATATTAAGATTTCAGAATTTTTTGGAAGAAGTAAATAAAGTAAATCAGTCTAACAGTTGTTAACTCCACATACCTGATTAGAAAAACCGTTCTCAACTACATACAGGTTAAAGAAAAACTCTAATTAGTATCTCTAGACTTGCAAAGACAAGCATTGCAATAGGGTTGAGGAGCCCTGAGGCTCCGGGGACCTGGTTGGTCATCCCAGCTCTACCCTCAAGTGGCTAAATTGTGATGCAGCCTTGAGTGGCTCTTGTAGTCATTTCTAGAAACTGCACTTGAGTGTCCTGGGCCATCTGCTCTGGCATTGGTCTCTGATGACCTCGGTGGAGCTGATGGTCTCATGTTGCTGAGTCCAGGTTTAGATTGCTTTGGTTTTTCCTGTAGGTGGGAGATATTTGGAAGAGCAGAAAGTTGCCTTCTTTATCTGGTATTTTCCTCCCACAGAGTTTTCCTCCGTGCGATAAATCAGTTTACCGAGGTTCTCACGAAGCTCTTCATGGATCAGGCAAGCTTCGAACTTCAGGTAAGCGTGCTACTCACCTAGGAGGCTCCTTGAATTCTCAGCCACAGCGAGACAACTGTGGCATTTTGGAAAATGTCACTTCAAATTTTATCATTTTCAAGCACAGTTTTCTTGTTTTTTTCTCCTTTCCCTAAAGCACACAGTCCTGTCACTCTGTCCTCCAGACACAATCAAGTAGAGTTTTTTTTTTTCTGTGCGTATAACTAATACAGGTTTTTTTGTTTTGTTTTGTTTTTTAAGATCTTATTTATTTGACTGAGAGAGAGAGAGCGAGAGGGAACACAAGCAGGAGGAGTGGGGGAGGCAGAAGCAGGCTTCCTCCTGAGCAAGGAGCCTGATGTGGGGCTCAATCCCAGGACCTTGGGATCATGACCAGAGCCGAAGCCAGATGCTTGACTGAGCCACCCAGGCGCCCCAACTAGTATAGGATTTTTTTTTTTTTTTTAAGATTTTATTTATTTATTTGACTGACAGACATAGATAACAAGTAGGCAGAGAGGCAGGCAGAGAGAGAGGAGGAAGCAGGCTCCCTACTGAGCCCAGAGCCCAATGCAGGGCTTGATCCCAGGACTCTGGGATCATGACCTGAGCCTAAGGCAGAGGCTTTAACTCACTGAGCCACCCAGGCGCCCTATAGTACAGGTTTTTGTTTGTTTGTTTGTTTGTTTGTTTGTTTGTTTTTAAAAAGGACTAGTAGAAAATATGGCTAAGGAAAAAGAAAAAAAAGAAGAAAGACAAAAACGTCCTGCCTTCTGCCGTTACCATGAACACAAATACGCGTACACACGTGTGCCTGTGGACGGACCTGCAGACAGTTCTCTGCCTGCACGTGGTTTCGTTTCTCAGGGGAGGCTCATATACACACTTGTGTGAAACAGGTGGCCCCTAGCTCCTCCTGCATTCGTCCGACAAATACTACAGTATTTATGGGCACAGGGCACCACTCTAGGCCCTGGGGAAGGCAGACAAGGTCCCCGCCCCCATGGGGCACACAGTTCCTTGGTGATGTGCTTTTGCTCTGTCCTGTGGCTTTGTTTGTATCTGTGAACTGTAGAGAGTCGTCAGAAGAGGAGATTAGATATGCATTTATATATACATACGTGTGTGTCTGTATGAGCTAAAATGGAGTGTCTGTATTTGCTGGTTAGACCTTACGTATATATGCCAAGATGTAGTCAAGCTGTGCAGTTCTTTGGCAACATTAATACGATTTTTTCGATCATCTTTTCAATGACACTAAATGTTTTCACAGGACTTTTAGTGGCTGAGTACAGTCATGATTTATTTAACCGAGTTCTTCTTAGGAACGTTTAGATGGTTTCCATCTTCTGTCATTTAAATAACACCGTGAAGGCCTTCCTTGCTTTAAATAGTTTTAAATACCCATGATTATTTTGCCAGGATAAAGTCCTAAAGTATTTACCATTTCAGCAGCTTGGCAGAATTTGGGGGCTTTTGATCTGTATTGCCAAACTACTTACTATAAATGGGTGTTCTTGTTAGCAGCAGTTCTCCCTTACCTCAGGAGTAAAGACAAATAGAGCAGTCTGGATTTAAAAAAAAAAGAGAAAGAAAGAAAGAAAGCCTTAATAGTAAGTGTTAAAACTTTCAGGGCTGAATAATTGAAACATGAGAAAGAAAATGGGGCCTGGTGGATTTTATTTTGTTTTTTTCCTTACTCCCTGTGAGTAAATGTCTGCCATGTGGCACTGTTTTACTCTGACCCATATTAATGTTATTTTCCATTCCTTTTCTCCCACACGATCAATTTTGAGCAGCTCTGGAACAATTACTTCCACTTGGCAGTAGCATTTCTCACCCACGAATCCCTTCAGCTTGAAACCTTCTCTCAAGCCAAGCGCAACAAAATTGTCAAAAAGTAAGTGTCCTCTTAAACTTGCTTAAGATTGGCAAGGTGATTCTTCCATTCCTTTTTTTTTTTTTTTTTTTTTTTTAAGATTTTATTTGAGAGAGAGAGAGAGAGCATAAGCAGGGGGAGCAACAGGCAGAGGGAGAAGGAGAAGCAGGCTTCCGGCTAAGCAGGGAGCCTGATGCAGGGCTCGATCCCAGGACTCTGGGATCATGACCCGAGCTGAAGGCAGACTCTTAACCGACTTTGTCACCCAGGCGCCCCAACCGTCACAATTTTCTTTAAATGGAATCCGTACTTGGAGAGGCACCGGGGCTGGCTAGTACTCCTGTTTCCCTGAACAGCCGCCCATCTGCCAGCATCATGCCCACATTGCAGGCACAGCACCTCTCCCTCTCACGCCACACTGTTTCACCTCTCCATCGCGTCAGCAGAGGAGCCAGGACTCACACGTCCCCTAAAAATCCCTCCAGATTCCTGGCTCGGAATTCGATGTGGACGTATGACCAAGAGCGATGAGAGATTTAGGGAAGCTTTTCATCCCTTTCCTTTCCGGTCTGTTTCAGAGTTCACGGAGAGCCTGGAAACTCAAGGCTGTGTAGTTAAATAGAACATGAGAAATATGTCACTTAAAGGCTGTGAAATTTGAGCTCTGTTCCCTTGCCGGGATGTCTGGGATTCTAGGCAGATTATTCGGTATTTGTTTACCCCTGGTTTCTCCCTAAAACACTGAGATTGGTGGTTTAGAGATTGAGATTTAAATCTCAAAGATAAAAGTAAAACCCGTTTTATGGATTTCCTTATGGGGTGGGTATGGAGACAAAACTGATTTTTAAGATGGATGTCTTAAGCTTATTGTTTAGACTATCGTAAATGACATAACTTCTCTTAAGGATGGATTTAATTTGGTTAAACAATGAAAAGTTAGTTGACCCCGAGTCTGGTGAACAGAGTAGCCAGGCTACTTAGGCTTAATGATTCTAGTTTTGATAGGTTCGACTATGGACAGGCTATATAAAATATATATGCATATGGGCAAAGGTGCACCTTGGGAAAGCATTTTTATTAATGTTACAGAAACACAAATCAGTTTTTTTCAAGATTTATTTCTAGTAGAAGTTGCATCAACAACAGTATTAATGAATAGAAGTAGTTACCGTGTATTGTTTATTACGTGCCTGACATTGAGTACATATGCTTACTAATATAAATAATAAAATTAGATGTTTTGTTAAAAAGGAATAGTAAGAGAAGTTTGTTTTATTTTTGTACGAGGAGTCTTCAATTAAGAATTTTACACTGGTTTCTGAAGGCATTTACAAAAGAGGAATTTGAAAATAGTGTTTGGTGCCGTGAGCAGAAAATGTTGAAATGCGGTTGTAGGATGGGCCATAGGTGCTCATTCGAGTTCCCAGGGAACGTTGGCCATATCTACTTTTGACCCACGCTGTTTCTAGTAGCCTCAGGCCTGTGTGTTCTTTAAGCGATATCCGGGTGATTTTGATTACTCTCCAGCCATGAACCACTGTCTAGATGACCGTTTCTCTTTCTCTCTCTTTTTTCATTATTGACTCCTATAAAGAACCTTTTCAGAAATTGGTTTCCTAATCACACCCCCCCCAAAATATTAATACCACAGATCCGCTGCATGTCACATACAGTAATATGTGATTTGTATTTCACACATAAGAACAGTAAGCCTGCTGTGCCCCCAAGGACCAACTCTCACTCCTGGGGGGACAGCACCCCCCTCCACTGAGAAGGTGTATCTAGAGCTTCTCAGTGTGAGTACTTTGAAGAACGTACTGAAGTGTGGGTAGGTTACTCAAATAAAAAATATGTAAAGTCAGCATGTTTGTCTGACATCAGTCACTTGACTATTTACATCATACCTCATTCATCTGCCTTTTCATTAGCGCTTGGTATGTTTTGTTTTGTTTCTTTACTTAACAGTGGCCAGAATAGCCCCCCGCCTTCTCCCTTCAATAAGTTTGACAATTTCATTTCTAAGTTATTTTTCAGTGTTCACATGTGGCCCCCTCCTGCTAGTAAAGCCCCCCTCTCCATGTAGCCCAGTTCTCTTTGGGAGTTCTTTTCAGTGTTGACTACATCTCGTAAAGTGACCTTGCCTCAGACCTGTCATAAACATGGCCAAGAGGGGCAACAGGCCATTCCTACTCACCTCATCATTTTAATATATGAACTGATTTCCACTGCAGATCTTTTTCTTGTTGATGATCTTCCTAGGTACGGGGACATGAGAAAGGAGATCGGCTTCAGAATCCGGGACATGTGGTATAACCTGGGTGAGTGTATGACCTTGAACTGGCCCATGCACAAGTCCTGTGTAATAAGCTCCCTGTGATGGGTTCTTCTGATTCTAATTCCCAGTAACCCTGAGACTTCTTTGTCTGTGTGTCTAGAAGTGAAAGTTGACTTGTAGGTCTTGCATTGTGACATCCACGTGTTATCAGAATGTAACATTTAGTCACTCCTCTGAACTGAGTTGATTTTACCCCCATGACCTTTTTCTTTTCTTCTGGCCCTTTGGAGGAACATGGTGACGCTTGACTTCCAGTGAAATCACTTTTTAATATCCTTGCTTACTTTCATTTCAGGTCCCCACAAAATCAAATTTATCCCTTCCATGGTGGGTCCCATTCTTGAGGTCACCCTGACCCCTGAGGTCGAGCTCCGGAAAGCCACCATCCCCATTTTCTTTGACATGATGCAGTGTGAGTTCAACTTCAGCGGGAACGGCAATTTCCATATGGTAAGTGGTAGAACTGGAGTCTTCCGACTGTGCAGATATATAGTCAGCTCTTGCTTACTTTCTTTCTCTAGAGGGGAGTCGTAGCCTGAGTAATACAAATCCAAGTTGGTCTAAAAACTGTTTACATTTTACATTTTGTAAAACACTTAGAGACAGAATGGGATGTTCTATCCCATGGCCTAGAAACGGTTTTTTTGCTCCATGTGTTTCCTCAAACAGCATTGCATCTCTGGGTAATTAAAATTTGACATCACGCATCTTAGTTCTATCTGTTGCAGTATAGCTGGGAAAATAGTGCTGGGGATTGAGAAACTCATGCGGTGGTCTCTTATTTTGAGGTCTCCCTCAAAGGAAGTGGTCTTGTGTTTTGACGTCTCCTTCAAAGGAAGAAAGGCTATTCTATTTCCTACAATGTAAAGCAAAGGACAAAGTAACATGAGTCTAGTATAGAGCGTTTCAATAGGGCCCTGGCACATGATTAATGGAAGACATGAAGTATGATCTTTCCCTACAATATGTTGGCAAGTGTTAGCAGTTCAATAAAAGGGTTGGGTCGAATCTAGAAATGTTGGCTGGGTGGCTTACGTGCCCTCTTCTAAGAATACCTGGCATTCTCCTGTGACATTCTTACCCTGCTTCCAGTTTGAGAACGAGTTGATCACAAAGCTGGATCAAGAGGTGGAAGGGGGCAGAGGAGATGAACAATACAAGGTCCTTCTGGAGAAACTGTGAGTATTTCAGAAACAAAGTCTCAAACTGATACATCATTTAGTGGTGGAGAGAAGCAGGCTTCTGCTGCCTTTCCAGACAAGTCGAGAAGTCCCAGAAGCACAGGGGTCACCACCACAAATGGTCCTCAGCAGGGTTAATGGAGTTTCCACCATCCACTGCTGACATTTGTTTGTCTGAGTGAGTCAAATGTCCGTGTTTTCCTGGCCAGCCCGGCCCCTCGAGAACAGAGCAGATGGAGGAGAAGGGGAGATGTACCAAGCGATGGCATTTTGCCCAGTGTTTGAATCGCTAAACTTCACCAAAAGTGCTAGTACCTCTAATTATGGCTCCAAAGCTCCTTTTTAAAAGAGGAAGGGAAAATAAAAACATTTCAAAGTCTGCTTTACCTTTAAAAGTACCTTCTGTCCAGTAGACAGGCTCTAAGAACAGCTGTTATATCTCCAGCCAGGCTGGTCTTTGCGCTGCCTTACTCACCCTCCCTCGCATCTGACATTTCCATTCCCTCCTGTGCTCCCACTGTCACTCCCACTTCCTGTCCCCCCACACATACACCTCACACCCCTCCTGCCCTCTGAATTCTCCTTTGCATGTATGGGATCACAACATAAAAAGGCAGTTAAAAACACTTGTGGGTTGGAATTAGAGAAACCCTCAAATCTCATTTTTGCCATAACCCAGGAGTGTGACCTTGGACCAGTGTTCTGACCTCTCTGATGGCTTTCGTTTTTTCATCCACACGGATGGCCCATAGGCTTTGGTATTGATTGAGGACTCAATGAGGTGACACCTTAGCATGGCGTCTGTTACTGAGCCCGAGCTGACAGGGCGTCACTACTGTGGGTTTGTGCTGCCACCATCTTCAGTCCACCGTTGTCCATGGTGCTCACTACCTGTGACAACCCATTTCTTGGATTCTCTAGCCTCTGGGATACCGACCAGCTGGTCACCTGTTGATTGGGCGTATGCCTCTGTCATTTTGTTGTCCATCTCTTTCGTGGAAGTGATGCACACTAGACTGTGCTTGGGGACAGGGACTCCCAACTCTGTTTTCTTTTTTGTTTTTTAAGATTTAAGGAGCCAGAGCACACTGGGTGCTCAGAAATGTAACTGAATTGATGACTCAGCTATATTTTCAAGAACGAGAACTCTTTCTTAGTTTGCTTTTAGTGGATGACAAGACCCATTCATTGATCTTTTTATCCTGTTTCCATTAAGTTTACCTGTTTGAGTTTCAAACCCCACATTATCACTCTTGTAATTCGGATTTCATACAAGAATTAAATGGAGAAATTACATACCTGTACAGATATATATACAAACACAATTTACAAATGATAAACTACCTTTTTTTTTTAAGTCCCAAGCTGATTTTTCACTGTAAGTTCTTTTTTTTTTTTTTCTCCATTCTTCCTGAATCACTAACTCATAAAAATATGACTATAAACATCTCCAGTGTTCAAGAATAATTCTAAAGTCTGGGCTAATTCTTTGAGCCTATTTCTTTCTCTTTTTTTATCTTGTTCTCTGAGTTTTTTTGTAGTTATCAAATCCAAGAAGCCCCTGTAGAATAGCTTTGCTGTATTTGGGTCCAACAGGAGAAGGTTTAGGTCAAAAATTTATCCTCAGCTTATTTATTTACAACTTTGCATTTTTGTTGTTGCTCTTGCTAAATAACACTTTCATCTGAAGAGGCACGTGTGTGGATGTGCACTAGATTCATAGTGTCCTCTAGATTGGGCACTGATCCAGGCCTTTCCAGAATGCCCGCAGGATGCTAGGGGGAAGTGCTAGGCTTTAGGGAGAATGAAGACATAAAAAGATGGTCCCTTTCAGTTTCAGTAGACTGATCAGATAGCATACATAAACCTGGGCAAAGGTTCTCGTTTCTGTGGTATTGACAAAGACAAAAACAAAAAGCAAGTACAGATAGAAGTTCAAAGATGGGCATTGTGGGCTGGGATTTTAAATGACAGTGGGACTTGAATCAAAGCCCTGAAGACAATGTAGGACTTGAGTCACCTGGAGGGACAGCGTAAGTGGAGCCCTGGATGGGATGGCCTTACACAGAAGGTGTGTGTCTCCTGGTCTGGCGCCACCTGCTGCCGGAACCTTGGACAGTGCTCATTAAAGGTGCTGGAATGACAGACAGTATGCAAATGGGGCATTTGTTTCTGTGTCCACCCTTCCAGGCTCCTAGAACATTGCCGGAAACATAAGTACCTTGCCACCTCTGGAGAAGTGTTCGCATTCCTGGTCAGCAGCCTGTTAGAGCACCTGCTGGACTACAGAACCATTATCATGCATGACGAGAGCAAGGAGAACCGCATGAGCTGTACTGTGAACGTGCTGGTGGGTGCCGGGCCCCCGGGTTGGCGAGAGGGCACCACTGGGCCACCCCTGCAGGCGTAGCTCAGCTCTGAGTAGATCTCCCAGGCCCAAAGCTACCCAGGGGCTACCTACATGGAGTCTGCATCCTGCTGAGTTCAGCTGGAACTGCTGACTCAGCTTTGGACTCAGAAGTCAGCTCCCACAGACATGGGGATGGAAAGTGAAACCCAAGCCCTTGGCTCCACTCTTGCTCGAAGACCATCCTTCACCTTTTCCTCTGTCTTGTTTATATGTGGTTGCTTTGTTGTTGGAAATGTTGCATCAGAAACGCTATGTCACGAGGAGAGAGTCTGTGGAGTCCTCATGGTGGTAGAGCTCTGTGGTCTTGCCTTTCCCTAGATATGTGTCACCGGGGCCACAGACGTCAGAAGTTTAGGCTGCTTTGCATTCCTCTGCTTAATAGAAAGGAAGAGTCTGACCCCACTGACCCCTTGAGGAAAAAAAAAAAGACCACCCATTGACTGAAGTACCAGTTGGCTATCTGCTCACTTAGAGGGTTTCCCTCACGTTTTTTAGAGGCGTGAGTCCCAGAAAATGTTTCAACTTAACTTTATAAATGATGACTACCTTTTTTTGTGGCAGTTAAAGGAAACTTCCTTCCTGTGTTAAAGGAAAACAATAGCCTCTGGAAAAGTGACACTGTGAACGTAGTGGTTTGGCCATTTCTGTGGCCAGCTTGTCCATAACCTTTGACTTACATTGGTATTTCTGCCCCCCTTTTTTTGGTAGAATTTTTATAAAGAGAAGAAGAGAGAGGACATATACATAAGGTAAGCTGGAGGAGATTTCTGCTTTTGCCATTTATGTCCTGGCTTTATTATTTATTTCTTCAGTAAACAAATGCTAAGTCCCAACACCATGCTTGCTGCTTTGAGAGACACTAAAAAAGTAGGAGAGCTGCCCCCTTCCCCTGGAAAAAGTAAACTCTTTAGACAGATGCGTAAGTCCAGCCTGAGGGAGCACATAGGGAGGATGGTGTTGGCATTCCGGGGAAGGATGGAAGACTGGCCAGAGCAGTCAGGAAAGGCTGCATAGGTCAGAGGCATGGATGGACAGGTGCCTTGTGTCAGGGACCGTCAGCCTGGGATGCTGAAAGCCCTGAGCAAAAAAAAAAAAAAAAAAACAAAAAAAACAAAACTGAGCACCACTGCATTAAAGGAAGAGTGCAAAATAGAGCCATTGGAGTGGGAAAGACACGCAGACAAGAAGCAGCAGAGAGGGGTAGAGGGAGGGGAAGACAGGAGGTGATGGAGTCCTTAGTCTGTGAAAAAGGAGGGAAGGAAAGCTGGGGAAGCAGGCTGTGGTGTGGTTGCAGAATGAGCTGAACCCGAGTGGCAGAGTGCCCCCTTCCTCCCCTTCTGCCCAGGTACTTGTACAAGCTGCGGGATTTGCACCGAGACTCTGAAAACTACACAGAAGCCGCCTATACCCTCCTCCTCCACGCCGAGCTTCTGCAGGTAAGTGAGTCAGGCATGCCTTTTTCCACTGCATGGAAGCCCCCTGTCCAAGCCCTTTGGGACCAAATCCTGCAGCTTCATGACTTTGGATGGGAAGGAGCCGTATTCAAGGGAGCTCCTTCTATCCAAGAGCACTCATATGCCTTCTAAATAAGCACCGCTTATTTTCTGCGGGGGTGGGGAAAATGTCAGTTATCATTTGTTTAAAAATCCTTTGGAAGCAGAGCGCAGCTTAAGGGCCTCCAGTAACTGACAGTCTCATTGAAGAAACAAAATATACGTTGATTAATGTATGTAAAAAATCATCCTAGAACTGCCAAGAGATGAGCTGTAAATGAATATAGTAGCACTCCCCTACTTATACTCTTCTTACAGAGTCAGAGTTGTGTGCCAGGGATATACATATACCTATGTGTCATGGATCCCGAGTCATGATTTCTAGTTCTGACCAGTCCACTAACTTTGCATTTGTGTATGAACTGTTCCTTCCATATCACAGTCTTGGAGCAGCTAATAGCTCACACTTCTCCCGGCAGTAACAGAAGCTGCCATTCCCCACGGTGCTCTCAGAACCTTCCCTGTCCTCTTCTTTCTTCCCATTTTCATAAAGGGAAAGCACCTTCACCCGGGTGCTCAGGCAAATACCTGTTGTCATCTTTTATTCACCCTCCCACATCGAGGCCGAGCTAAAATCACAGACCAGTAGCGATTGTGAACTCCTCTCGCAAGGCACATGCTTGCCTTTTTTATTTTTTGGCATGGGAACAATTAAGATATAGTCTCCCAGAAAATGTGAAGTTTGTGGTACGGTATTGTTGTCTATAATCACTATGTGTTAGGTGTCTGGGATTTATTTATGCTTTGGTTGTACTTGCCCCCTTCAAATAACATCTCCCCCGTGCCCTGCCACCCCCAAGCTCCTGGTAACCACCACTGTCCTCTGTTTTCATGTGTTTGGCTTTTTCTAGAGCCCATGTGTAAGAGCTACCAGGTAATCTTTGTCTTTCTCACTCCGGCTTGTTTCACTTGTAACACCCCAAAGTCCATCCACATTGCCCAGAGTGGCAGGATTTCCTTCATTCTCATGACTAAATGGCATTCCGTCGCATATATATCCCACACCTTCTTTATCCACTGTTGGGTGCTTAGGCTGTTTCCGTGTCTTGACTGCTGTGAACAATGCTGAGTGAACACGGGAGTGCAGACATCGTTTAGGGATCCTGATTGTCTCTTCTTTCTATCCACTTTTCTTTATCATCTTGCTGTTGTCCTGGTCCATTATCTCTCCCCTGGAGCATGGCAGTAGCCCCCTATTACATCTCCCTGTCGCCATTCTTGCCCCTAGCAATTAATTTTCTGGTATAATTTAATTTTTTTACTAAAATAAGGCATGTACATTGTTCTTAGCTTTGTCATTAAGAACAGGAGTCCTCTGCCTCACCACTTCCCAGGGCAGCCATTCACAATTCATGTTCAGGTTCAGGGCACTAATAAGCTTATTGCATTTGGGATGATAGGAGAGCTTGCTGACCTTGGACTGATCACAGAGAGACTCCGGTATGTCGGTGACTGTAGGTCCTTTTGTCTCAGAGAGTTAAACTCTACCTTGGCATAAAGTTTGAGGTATGGATGCAGCTCTCCCCCACAGCTAGCTACTGAATTTAGGGGTGTTCTTTATTAAGTATTGTCCATATTTTCCTCACTGGGATAATATTCCATCTTTATCATGTACACAAGGCAAGTCTCTTACCAGATTGCGTACACTTTTGCATGGTCTGAATGAACTCTGTATGTTCACGCACCAGGACCACACTGTTTTGTGGTACGTTTCACTACCTGGTAGTTACTCTTCATTGCTGCTTTTTTTTTTCAGAGGTTTCTGCCCTATTCCTTTGTATTTATTTTTCCATGTGGACTTTGGAATCATGAAATTAAAACACTGATATAGGAAGAATTTCCATGTTTATGGAGTAGCATTCTCTTATCCAAAAACATGTTAGGACTTCCATTTGTTCAAGTCTGCTTTCCTGCCCTTCAGTGATGTATTAAGCTTTCTTGTGTAGAAGTCTTGCATATTCCTTGTTATGTTGATTCGTAGGTATCTTTTCTTTTTTAATGTAATTATGGTAAAATATACAGAACTTAACATTCACTGTTTGAACCATTTTTAAGTGGACCGTTCAGTAGCCTTAAGTACATTCGCCTTGTACCTGGATATCCTCTCATTTGGGGTTTATTCTAGTCCTGGTCTTATCTCTTCAACATGGTTATCTATTCCTGGGAACCCACCTCTAAATTATTGCTAAATTTGTTAATTTTTATGCCACTACTTAATTCTCTCATTATCTGTGATAGTTGTTCAGTTGGCATGCTATGTGAAGAAATGGATTATGAAGAATACAGTCTTTGCATGGTCATAGTTTTACCCCTTCCTTCCCATTTTCATACTTCTAATTTTTTTCTTTCATCCCGTTGTCCGTGTGGTACCTTCAGTGCCCAGCAGGTGTGTTGGGCAGCCCTCCGCCCCCTTCGCTACTGTTCACAGCAGTGCTTCAGGTGGTGGCTCATTTGGCGTTAACTTGTTTTGAAACTGACATACGTCTTATTTTGGGGGGTGGGGCAATTTTTGTGTTTAATAAATAATCTAAACAATATGGCTGAATCAAAAATATATACAAATATGTCTGACTTTTATCGGCTGAATATTTGTTACATGGATCTCCTTTGGTTAATTGATTTACTTAACCGACGTGTTACATTCATCTCTTTTGTTCCTTTTGTTTGTTTTTCAGTGGTCGGATAAGCCCTGTGTACCCCATTTGCTTCAGAGGGACAGTTACTATGTCTATACCCAGCAAGAGCTTAAAGAGAAGCTGTATCAAGAAATCATATCATACTTTGACAAAGGCAAAGTGAGTATTGGGCTGTTTTTGTATTAGGGAAAGGAAGAAATTGGCTGCAGTGTTGCAGGGCAGTTCTGATGCCAACTACCCATAGTTAGCCCAGTTCCCTCAGGTTCAGGAAGTAGTCCCCAGTCAGACCTCCCTCACTTGAGACACCAGCCACAATTTGGGGGTTTCTGGGCTACCCACATGGATCAGCAACTGACAGTAAATTTGGGGAGGGTGTCCTGTGAACCCCTCAGATTTGATAATACGTTGGAACAGCTAACAAAACTTGGTAAAGTGCTGTGCTTACAATTACAGTTTTGTCTTAAAGGAAGCAAATCAGGAACCAGCCAATTGAAGAAAAACATAGGGCAAGGTCTAAGGAGCATTGCATATGCAGAGCTCCTGTGTCCTCTCCCATGAGTGGATTCCGGGCACATCGGCCTCCTAGCAAATAGATGAGAATTTCACCTGGGCCTCCGTGCGTAGTTTTTGTTGGGGTTTCATTGAAGCCTTCGTTGGTTGAACCTTTGGCCATGTGAGTGAACTCTGTCTCCAGCAGCTCTCTCCTCCCTGGAGGTCTGGCTGATTCCATGTAGATCAGGGCCCTGATCTTCTGATCCCGTGGGCTGCAGTCTGGCAAGGCCAGCCCCGTTCTGAGACCATCTCGAGGCCCACCGTGAGTTTCTCACTAGTATAAATTCAGGTGTGGTCTGAGGGGCCCACCAGAAACAACAAAGACACTCCCATCACTGGAGAAATTCCAGGGACTTAGAAGCTCCCTCACAGGGACTCAGGATAAAGACCACACAAATCCTTTATTTTAGAACAATGACTCATGACTTACTCTTTATTATTCCCATGTGTTTCTTTGAATTTTAGTATTTTTAGTGGGAGAGCAAATGAATAGATAAATTAGGCTAACAAAGTCAATAAAGATCAGTTATTCAGGACACTTAACCCAATGGAGGATATAATGGGCAGCCCAGAGCCCGATTCTCCATAACCATAATTTTACCTTTTGAATACTGCTGAGTGCCAGGAGCTAGCACCATGATTTTCAGTGCATTCTCTAGAGATTGTGGCCAGCCCCTGGTGCACACCCCACACCCAGGCCACGACTTGCCTAACACCATAGGTAACAGGGGGCCTAATTAATTACCCCAGGGGCTCTGAAAAAAGGTAAACATGAGAACTAGGCTGGAAGTTGTGGAGTCTCTAGTCAGCTGGTCAGCATGGCTAACTGAAAGGCTTTTAAAATAGGAAAAAATATGGAAGGCGTCAGGGGAGGAAGAAAAAAAAACATGCACTATCCAAACAAAACAGATCCTAGATTTGACTCGTTTCAGAGGTCTGGAGAGTTCTTATGGACTGCCACTTCCAGCCACTATTCCTGATTTAGCAGTGAACCTGTTTGTGAAATAAGTAAATAAGCCCAAATAACCTTTGGAATGGGAAAGGATGTTTGCAAACGACACAGCCAATGCAGAGTTAGTATCCAAAATCTGTAAAGAATTTATGAAGCTCAACACCCAAAAAACAAATAATCTAGTTAAGAAATGAGCAGAATAAATGAATAGACATTTTTCCAAAGAAGACATCCAGATGGCTAACAGGCACATGAAAAGATGCTCAGTGTCATTCATCATCAGGGAAAAACAAATCAAAACCACAGTGAGGTATCACCTCACACCTGTCAGAATGGCTAAGATTAACAACATAGGAAACAACAGATGTTGGGGAGGCTGCAGAGAAAGGGGAACCTTCGTGCCCTGTTGGTGGGAATGCAAACTGGTGTAGCCACTCTGGAGAACAGTATGGAGGTTCCTCAAAATGTTAAAAATAGAACTGCACTATGACCCAGCAATTTCCTACTAGGTATTTACCCAAAGAATACAAAAGTACTGATTTGAAGGGATACATGCACCCCAATGTTTACAGCAGCATTATCAACAATAGCCAAGTTATGGGAAGAGCCCAAATGTCCAACCACTGCTGAATGGATAAAGAAGATACGGGGTGTGTGTGTGACACACACACACACACACACACACACACACGTATACAATGGAATACTACTTAGCCTTCAAAAAGAATGAAATCTTGCCATTTGCAATGACATGGGTGGAGCTAGAGAGTATGATGCCAAGTGAAATAAGTCAGAGAAAGACAAATACTATATACTTTTACTCATGTGGAATTTAAGAAACAAAATAGAGGAACATGGGAGAAGAAAAAAAGAGACAAATCATGAAACAGACTCTTAACTATAGAGAACAAACTGAGGGTTACTGGAGGGGAGATGGGTGGAGGGATGGGCTAGAAGGGTGATGGACATTATGGAGGGCACTTGTTCTGATGAGCACTGGGTGTTTTATGTAAGTAACGAATCACTGAATTTTACTCCTAAAACTAATACTACGCTATATGCTAACTAACTGGAATTTTTTAAAAAAATGAAACAAAAAAAATTAATATAAGAAAAAATCAGGCAGTGGGGCATCTGGGTGGCTCAGTGGGTTAAGCCTCTGCCTTCAGCTCAGGTCATGATCTCAGGGTCCTGGGATGGGGCATCACATCCAGCTTTTTCAGCAGGGAGTCTGCTTCCCCCTCTCTCTCTGCCTGCCTCTTAGCCTACTTGTGGTCTCTCTCTCTCTGTCAAATAAATAAAATATTAAATATATATATATATATATATATATATAAAATAAATAAAATCAGGCAGATACTCATCATGATAAAGTAGCTAGCATCTATTTAGTGCTAGTTACTGTTTTGAGTGATTTCCAGGCTTTTTGTCCAATTTAATTCTCCCTAAAACCCTGTTAGGTAGGTACTATATCTTTTTTACAGATGAAAAACTTGAGGCCCAGAGACCAAGTATATTTGCTCAAGGTCTTTGGTCTCTGTGTCCCTTGACCTGCTCAAAAATCACTGAGGATCCCAAAGAGCTTTTTTTCCCACATGGATTGTATCTACTGATACAAGTATCCTTAGAAATTAAAACAGAAAATCTTAAAATATTTATTTACTTGTTCTCTGAAGGAACTTTTTACTATGAATATAAATCATATTTATTAAAAATTACTATATTTTCCAAAAAAATAGTGATATGAGTGGCACTGTTTGACATGTTTGACAATCTCTCCAGCATCTGGCTTGGTAGGAAACAGCAGAATCCTCATATCTGTTTTCTGCATTCCATCTCCAGTGGTACTACCCATTTGGTAGTTGTGGGAAACCCCCCTGCATGAGAGAATGAGGACTGAGAAAGGCAAATATATTATTAATACTAAGAAGGTAATTGTGATCATAGGGACTCTGTGAGAGGATCTTGGGGACTCCCAGAGACCAGGGACCACACACTTTGAGAAGCTCTGTGCCAGGCTATCTCCCTGTTTCTGACATAAATTAGTATTTGGTAAATGAGGAGCGAGCTTGACTTCTTGGATACTGTTGATGGGCTTCCTGCTCCAGGCCCAGCTAATCTGGAATGGTTTCCATATGGCACATTTCAGAGCCTTTTCCAGGGATCCCAGCCCTGAAATTTCAGAGGGGGTAAATTTGTCAAATGATGATTTTAAAAGACTTAATTTTTAAATCTTTTTTACAACTGTACGTGAACTGCGCCTACATTCCTTCAGCAACCAGAAACAGTGGAGCATAGTACCTGTTAATAAGAATCAAGTAGGAAATTACCAGATGCTATGTTATTACGAGCATCCACCTAAGAGACATTTTATGAAATATCAAAAGGAACAGAGGGCTCTCAGTGTGGGATGCTAGCCTCAGATACCATGTATCTCCAGTAAGCCGTGTCTTAAATGGTCATTAGTGAACTTACAATGTTCATCAGTACAAGAAACATCAATGTTTCTTAGGGCATCAAGTGCCCTAGCAAAAAGGCATTTTTCTTAAAACTCTTTGACTAAGCAGATGGTTTGGTCAGAGATAGGGAATCAGTGCTCAAAACTGGAGAAACAGTTTCCCAAATTCCACACAACAGCGTGGTTAGTCTTTCTCCTGAACTACCTAATTCAAAGCGTACACAAACACACACACACTCCAGAACCAGAACTAAGGCCCACACTAACTTCCTTTCCCCTCCAGCAAGATTCACAAGCTCTCAAAACCCAGGCTTTGGAGTGGGTTCCTCTCAGCTCTCAATGGTCTTAGTGCTTTGCCCTTTCAGTGCAGTATCGCTTTCTTTGGGACACATGGTGTTCTTCATGTTCTCTGAAACAGAATTCTAGAACATGCCCCCTGGCAAAGCAGCCAAGATAGAGTAGCGTTATCATGCCAGAAGAAAAGGTTTAGTTAGTCCAAGAGGTGAGGCGTGGTGGGAATATTTGCAGAAACTCAACCCACCTGACTCCTTGGTCACTGTCAGCCACTCTCCCCTGGCTTTTTTGCAGACAGATCAGTGACTGCTTTGTTCTCCGCTTGTAACCCTACTTTTGCTTTTTCCAAGATGTGGGAGAAGGCCATCAAACTGAGCAAAGAGCTGGCCGAGACCTATGAGAGCAAAGTATTTGACTACGAGGGCCTTGGCAACCTGTTGGTGAGTCCGGGTCAGCACAGGGCAAGGGTCCGACAGGGATGCCAAATTTGTGTTTGTGAAAATGTTTTTCTACTTTTGAGATAGTCAAGATAAACCGTGTTCTTTACAGTGGGAAAGCAAACCTTGCTTGAAAGAAAAATGAAAAAAAGGTGAGGTCCTAAAGGTGTTACCATTATTACTCTGAATTATCTCTGATAAAGGGCCCAGGATCCTTGCCTCTAGACCTCTCTCTCTTCCCTGTGCATATTGTTTCCCTAGAGTAGGGACCCTCCATATTCCTGACCCATCTCCTCTTCACCCTCTTGGTTACTCTGGCTTCTGTGAACACTGTCCATAGTTCAGATATCTTCTGACATCTTCTGTCAGAATCACTCGTTCTGTGGTCCCCATCCTCAGGGTCCTGCCGAATGGATGAACTGCCAATCTATGAGCCTTCTTTTTGTTTTTTGTGTGTGTGTTTTGTTATGCACATCTTGGTATGTTGTTAAATGCTTCTGCTGGATCTTGAGTCTCAAATTTTGCCTCCCTCCTTCTCCCAAAATGTCACTGTGGTGCTTACACACATTATAGTTCCATGAACTTCTGTGCCATGCCTGCCCACCAGCACAGACCAACTATTTAAAAACAAAACAGCAAAACAAAAATAACACTCTGAATGTCCAGTGGTAGGCCAACACACATTACATTTGATAATTTTTAGTAGTGGAATCACAAAAGGTCAAGTCACCTGTTGTTATGTAATAATACAGTTGATCTTTGCACAATTGAAGGAGGGGAGTTTAGGGGAGCCAATCCCCAACACAGTTGAAAATCTGCATGTAACTTTTGACTCCCCCAAAACTTAACTACTAATAACCTATTGTTGACTATTGCTGACTAGAAGCCTTACTGATAAACAGTTGATCAACACATATTTTGTGTATGTATTATATACTGTTCTTACGATAAAGTAAGCTGGAGAAAAATGCTAAGAATTTGAAAGGAAGAGAATTCCCATACTATACTGTATTTACCAAAAATATCTGCGTATAAGTAGATTCATCCATTTTAAATACATGTTGTTCAAGGTCAAGTGTAGCTTCTTTGAGGGGATAGTCGTCACGATCACTTTGAAAACAGCTTGCCAGTATGTTGTACCAGCTCCTGCTATCATCACACACAGAAAATCACTTCTTAATTTCCTTAACTAAATGGAGCAACTAGTGATACGCCATGTTAACCCTGCTAAGAAAACGTGCTAGAAACCTTCACCTAAATAAAGTAAGTAAATACTAAAGTAAGTAAATGGTCACCGGACCATTGTGAGAGGGGCCTAGGGACGTGCCCCGAAGGATCTGGCTACCTGTTTTGCTCTCTTTAAGGCTTACTCTCAGCCCTGACCAGGAAACCTCTTCCCAAGGGAAGGATTAATGATAGCGCTGAGACCAGACACTGAAAAACAGAACATCACCACCACCTTCTGGGCACTCGTAGCTGAACTTAGGACTTTAATCGAAACCACCTGTGTGAACCCGAAAGTTCTTTATCTTCTTTTCTCCTGTATCTCTGTTTAAGTGCAGCCACCCTCCTCGAATCTCAAAAGGGGCTTTTTAACCTTTTAGGGGTCCTGAACCCTCTTCAGAAAACTGGTAAGAGCTAAACACTGCCTCCCTTTACAGAGGAACGCACACCGCGTGTGTCTTCCCGCAGGCAACTCCGGAGATGGCCAGACCATCCAAGGCTCATTCACAGACCCAGGTCCAAACCCTTCCATCCAAGAAAGGGATAGCTTCTTGGCCCACAGGATATTTTCCAAAGATTGTTCATTTGCCTGTTGGCTCATGGGAAACAACAAAGCAAATAGTCTGATCTTCCCCACCCCTCAATGGTGCCCTTGTAACTTCCCTGTGGAATGTCTTATTTTGTTTTCCAGAAAAAAAGAGCCTCGTTTTATGAGAACATCATTAAAGCAATGAGGCCTCAGCCTGAATACTTTGCTGTTGGATACTACGGACAGGGCTTTCCTTCTTTCCTCCGGGTAAGAAACCTCAGGGTGGTCCTCCAAGCCATTAAGCCGTGCAGTCTGAAGGAGGGACAGTCTTCATCTCTTTTCCAGATGGGCCTCATGTGTTAGCAGCTGGAGGCCCGTGTCCTCACTGTGGGAGGCTGGGGAGGGGAGCCACTTCCTGCGTGGCCGGCCTCTTCACCCCACACCCCAGCCTCCGGTATTCTGGCATCTCCTTTGTAAAATGGTTTTTCCCAGGTGGAATGAAAAAGGGAAAGAGAACCGTCACCTCCATGGGTCTGCTGCTGTGGGTCAGGCTGGAGAAAAGTGTGGATTGATGTATTTAGTTGTTTGTTTTATTTCCAGCCTGAGCTGGTTGGAAAGCAAATATCCCGAGGAAAAGACTGCAGAAGTTTCAGAAAAATAAAAACAGGTGTTGTAATAGTGAGAAGGACCATGTTATTCTTCCTTCTCAAAATTTTCTATAACATGATACGGATTTTAAAATCCACAAAACAAAATCTGATATTTTTTCCCCCACGCAAAAAAGGAAGTCTCTGTAGAGCTGGCTGTGTTTAAACATACTATCCATTTTCCTTCCCCTGATTTAAGAAAAAGTGAGAAAAGAAGTACTTTACATTCCTCATCGTGCCCCAGGAGGAGGTAACTCATCCACTCGGTAACTATGTAGCAAGTGCCTGCTGTGTGCCAGGCACACATGAGGCAGATTCCAGTCAGATACAGTCCTTAATCTTGGAATTCACAGCTTCACAGGTGTAATGGTAATTAAATAATCACACCAACGTCACACCAACGAGTGGAGATTGAAACTGACCAAGGCGGGTAGTCTGTGCTCTAAGAGTTGGTTAACCAGGGAGTAGTTACCAAGTAACGTTCACAGGGAAAAAAAAATTGCACGTGATTATTTAGTATTTATAATCACCAAAGACCGGATGCAGCTCACATGTCCCTCCACTGGTGAAGAGATAACTAACCTGTGGGATAGCTGTGCGATGGCATACAACTCAGTCATAAAAAAGAATGAACTCCTGATCCACACAAGCACGTGGATGAGTCTCGGATGCACTGTGCCGAGTAAAAGATCTTAGACCAGAAAGTCCACGTCCTCTTCGATTTTATTTATATGGATCTGGCCAGGCCGACACTGAACGGCAGGGGTGGACAGCAGATGAGTGGTCGTCTCGTAGCAGCGGGCGAGGGTTGGGCTTCAGAGGCACAGAGAAATTTTGCCTGGTGGTGAAACTGTTGTGTATCTTGATTGTGATCATGGTGATGTTTGTCAGAATTCAGAGAATTTACCGTAAAGATAGTAAATTTAGGAGGAGTCAAGATGGCGGAGAAGCAGCAGGCTGAGACTACTTCAGGTTGCGGGAGATCAGCTAGATAGCTTATCTAAAGATTGCAAGCACCTACAAATCCAACGGGAGATCGAAGAGAAGAAGAACAGCAATTCTAGAAACAGAAAATCAACCACTTTCTGAAAGGTAGGACTGGCGGAGAAGTGAATCCAAAGCGACGGGAAGATAGACCGCGGGGGGAGGGGCCGGCTCCCGGCAAGCAGTGGAGCAACGGAGCACAAAATCAGGACTTTTAAAAGTCTGTTCTGCTGACGGACATCGCTCCAGAGGCTAAACCGGGGTGAAGCACACACGGGGTCAGCGTGGCCTCAGGTCCCGCAGGGTCACAGAAGGATCGGGGGTGTCTGAGTGTCGCAGAGCTTACAGGTATTAGAACGGGGAAGCCGGCTACAGAGACAGAGCCGAGGAGTGAGCTCTAAGCTGGGGGTTACCTTGAACCGGTCGCAGGCTCGGTCAGCTCAGAGTGTGCCCGGAGGCCAGGGTGACGGGAGTAATTGGGCGCTGTTCTCTGAGCGCACTGAGGAGTGGGGCCCCGGGCTGTCGGCTCCTCTGGGCCGGGGAGGCCGCCATCTTCATTCCCGTCCTCCGGAACTCTACGGAAAGCGCTCAGGGAACAAAAGCTCCGGAAAGCAAACCCGAGCGGATTACTCAGCCCGGCCCCTGGTAAGGGCGGTGCAATTCCACCTGGAGCAAAGACACTTGAGAATCACTACAACAGGCCCCTCCCCCAGAAGATCAAGAAATCCATCCAAGACCAAGTTCATCTACCAAGGAGTGCAGTTTCAATACCAAGGAGAGCAGCGGAATTCCAGAGGAGGAGAAAGCAAAGCATGGAGCTCATGGCTTTCTCCCCATGATTCTTTAGCCTTGCGGTTAATTTTTTTTTCTTTTTCAATTTTTTTTTCTTCTTCTGCCAAATTTTTTTAAACTTTAACCCTTTTCTTTTTTTAACGTTTTTTAACTAGTTATTCTAATATATATATTTTTTCCTTTTTTTATTTTTTCTTTATTCGTTTTATTTTTTTAATTGTTTCTTTTTTTTCTTTTTATTTCTGAACCTCTTTTTATCCCCTTTCTCCCCCCTCACGATTTGGGATCTCTTCTGATTTGGTTAAAGCATATTTTCCTGGGGTTGTTGCCACCCTTTTAGTATTTTACTTGCTCCTTCATATACTCTTATCTGGACAAAATGACAAGGCTGAAAAGTTCACCACAAAAAAAAGAACAAGAGGCAGTACCGAAGGCTAGGGACCTAATCAATACAGACATTGGTAATATGTCAGATCTAGAGTTCAGAATGACGATTCTCAAGGTTCTAGCCGGGCTCAAAAAAGGCATGCAAGATATTACAGAAACCCTCTTGGAAGATATAAAAGCCCTCTCTGGAGAAATAAAAGAACTAAAATCTAACCAAGTTGAAATTAAAAAAGCTATTAATGAGGTGCAATAAAAAATGGAGGCTCTCACTGCTAGGATAAATGAGGCAGAAGAAAGAATTAGTGACAGAGAAGACCAAATGACAGAGAATAAAGAAGCTGAGCAAAAGAGGGACAAACAGCTACTGGACCGTGAGGGGAGAATTCGAGAGGTAAGTGAAACCATAAGACAAAACAACATTAGAATAATTGGGATTCCTGAAGAAGAAAGAGGGGAGCAGAAGGTATATTGGAGAGAATTATTGGAGAGAATTTCCCTAATATGGCAAAGGGAACAAGCACCAAATTCCAGGAGGTGCAGAGAACCCCCCTCAAAATCAACAAGAATAGGTCCACACCCCATAACCTAATAGTAAAATTTACAAGTCTTATTGACAAAAAGAAAATCCTGAAAGCAACCCGGGAAAAGAAGTCTGTAACATACAATGGTAAAAATATTAGATTGGCAGCAGACTTATCCACAGAGACCTGGCAAGCCAGAAAGAGCTGGCATGATATATTCAGAGCACTAAACGAGAAAAACATGCAGCCAAGAATACTATATCCAGCTAGGCTATCGTTGAAAAGAGAAGGAAAGATTAAAAGCTTCCAGGACAAACAAAAACTGAAAGAATTTGCAAACACCAAACCAGCTCTACAGGAAATATTGAAAGGGGTCATCTAAGCAAAGAGAGAGCCAAAAAGTAGTAGAGCAGAAAGGAACAGAGGCAATATACAATAACAGTCACCTTACAGGCAATACAATGGCACTAAATTCATATCTTTCAACAGTTACCCTGAATGTTAATGGGCTAAATGCCCCAACCAAAAGACACAGGGTATCAGAATGGATAAAAAAACAAAACCCATCTATATGTTGCCTACAAGAAACTCATTTTAAACCCGAAGAAACCTCCAGATTTAAAGTGAGGGGGTGGAAAACAATTTACCATGCTAATGGACATCAGAAGAAAGCAGGGGTGGCAATCCTTATATCATATCAATTAGATTTTAAGCCAAAGACTATAATAAGAGATGAGGAAGGACGCTATATCATACTCAAAGGATCTGTCCAACAAGAAGATCTAACAGTTTTAAATATCTATGCCCCTAACGTGGGAGCAGCCAACTCTATAAACCAGTTAATAACAAAATCGAAGAAACACATCGACAATAATACAATAATAGTAGGGGACTTTAACACTCTCCTCACTGAAATGGACAGATCATCCAAGCAAAAGATCAACAAGGAAATAAAGGCCTTAAATGACACACTGGACCAGATGGACATCACAGATATATTTGGAACATTTCATCCCAAAGCAACAGAATATACATTCTTCTCTAGTGCACATGGAACATTCTCCAGAATAGATCACATCCTCGGTCCTAAATCAGGTCTCAACCGGTATCAAAAGATTGGGATCATTCCCTGCATATTTTCAGACCACAGTGCTCTAAAGCTAGAACTCAATCACAAGAGGAAATTTGGAAAGAACCCAAATACATGGAGACTAAACAGCATCCTTCTAAAGATGAATGAGTCAACCAGGAAATTAAAGAAGAATTGAAAAAAATTCATGGAAACAAATGATAATGAAAACACAATGGTTCAAAATCTGTGGGACACAACAAAGGCAATCCTGAGCGGAAAATACATAGCGGTACAAGTCTTTCTCAAGAAACAAAAAAGGTCTCAGGTACACAACCTAACCCTACACCTAAAGGAGCTGGAGAAAGAACAAGGAAGAAACCCTAAACCCAGCAGGAGAAGAGAAATCATAAAGATCAGAGCAGAAATCAATGAAATAGAAACAAACAAAAAAAACAATAGAACAAATCAATGAAACTAGGAGCTGGTTCTTTGAAAGAATTAATAAGATTGATAAACCCCTGGCGAGACTTATCAAAAAGAAAAGAGAAAGGACCCAAATAAATAAAATCATGAATGAAAGAGGAGAGATCACAACTAACACCGAAGAGATACAGACAATTATAAGAACATACTATGAGCTACTCTACGCCAACAAATTTGACAAATTTGAAATTGATGCATTCCTAGAGATATATAAACTATCACAACTGAACCAGGAAGAAATAGAAAGCCTAAACAGACCCATAACCAGTAAGGAGATTGAAACAGTCATCAAAAATCTCCAAACAACACATTCCTTGGAGACTTACCTTATCCCTAACCCCCACTAACTGGAAACCATATCACCAGTGACCCCTCACAATC